AAATAGTAATTTTAAAGGGCTGAGATGTAGCTCAGGAGTAGATTGCTTGCATAATGTGTGAGGCCCTAGGCAAGAAAGAAAGAAAGAAAGAAAGAAAGAAAGAAAGAAAGAAAAAGAAAGCATTCAGTGGCATCTATTACATTCATAATGTGCAACCATCACCACTATGTAGTCACAGAAAGGAAACTATACTACAATAAACAGTCTCTATTCTCCCTAGTGTCCTGGTCATAAATAATGTTTCAGTCTCTACAAATTTGCTAATTGTTTTGTTTTGTCTTTTTGAGACAGGATCTCACTATGCAGTTCAGGCTGGCCTTGAGCTTTTCACTGGGTAGCCCAGATTGGTCTTGAACTCACAATGACCCTCCTGTCTCAGCCTCCCTGAGTGCTGGGATTACAGGCATATGCCACTCCGCCTGGTTTAAATTTGCTAAAATTCTGAATGTCTCATATAGAATAAATCATAAAACATGTGACAGGCTGGGCATGGTGGCTCACAAATGTAATCCCAGCACTTGGGAGGTGAAGCAGGAGGATCCTTGTGAGTTTGAGACCAGCCTGGGCTACAAAGTGAGCTCAAGTCCAGCCTGAACTGCACAGAGACACCCTGTCTCAAAAAAGGAACACCCCCTGAAATGTGACATTTTGGGTCTGAATTCTTAGTATAATATTTCCATGGTTCAAATATGCTGTAGCATGTATCATTACTTTATTCCTTTTGTAGCTGAATAATATTCCATTGTGTGTGTATTGTGAATTGTTTGTTCATTTGTTTATGGACAACTGAGTTGTTTCCACCTTGTGGCTATTATGTGTAATGCTGATATGGACACTGGGGCACAAGCATTTGTCTGTGTAGCTGATTTTAATTCTTAAGGGTATATAAGTAGGAGTAGAATTGCTGAGTCATATATTAATTGTTTTAACTTTTTGAAAAATTCCCAACAATGGACAAGGATCTAGATTTCCCCACATCTTCACCAATATTTATGTTTTTTTCTTTTCTTTTCTTTTTGAGGAATTGTCATAGTATTTCTTCCCTGATGGCCACTAGTCTCTTACTGTTACTTTTTGGATTTTTTGTACAGAGGATTGAATTCAGGCCCCGAACCATGCTAGGCATATGCTTTACCACTCAGGTGCATTATTCCCCCCTTTTAATAAATTTAAGAGGCAGAGTCTCACTAAGAAGTTGCCCAGTCTGCCCTCAAACTTGCAGTCTTTCTGCCTCAGCCTCCCGAGTAGCTGGATCACAGGTGTGTAACACCACACCTTTCTTTGTTGTCGTCTATGAGACAGGCATGTGCCACCATGTACAGGTATGCCTGGCCTTTGTTAATCAATTTTAAGTTAATTTTTGTATCTGGTGCTAGGTAAGGGTCCAACTCCATTCTTTTGCATATGGATAGGCAGTTGTCCTACCATTTAAACAGGAGACTATTCTGTCGCAGTCACGGAATTTTGTTGAAGATCAGTTCCACAGAGGTTTATTTTTGGATTATCAATCCTATTCCACTGGTTTCTATGTCTGTCTTTATTTCAGTAGCACAATGTTTGATTATTGTCATATCATAGGGTGAAAGCTTTTCTCTTTCTCCTTCTCCTCCTCCTGTTCCTCTTCCTTTTCTTTCTTTTTTTCTTCACTATGTTTTGGCTATTTGGGGGTCCCCTTAAAATCCATATAAATTTTGGGATAGGTTTGTTCCCATTTATTAAAAAAAGATCACTAACTGGCCCTGAATCAAGGCCGGCAGCTTCCTGACGCTGTTGGTTTCAAGCAGGAGCCTAAAGAGATGTCTTTCTATGGTCTGCTGGCCATTTCAGAACTTGAGCAGTAAAATGGCCAATTCATTAGACAGAAACAGCTTGACACCCTCCTCCCCGCAGTGGCTGTGAACATGGCAGGCTGCAGCGGCCCAGGACAGGAGCCACCAGCGTTTACTGGGACCTGAGCCACCCTGGGACCTGGAGCGCTAAGAAACCAAGCAACCCCTCCCCACGTGGTAAGTGGCTGTGATCGTGGCAGGCTCCATCGGCCCAGAAGGGAGCCACCGGTGTTTACTGATGTTTACTGGGAACCGCCATGCTGGGACCTGGAGCCCTGGGAAAACAAGCAACCCCACCCCCACCCCACCCCAGTGAGCAGCTATGACCATGGCAGGCTCTGGTGGCCAAGGATGGGAGCCTCTGCCATTTACTGGGACCCGTGCAATGCTGGGACCTGGAGGGCAGGGAAACCAAGCAACCCCCACCCTAGCCTGTTTTGTTTTGCTGAACTTCAACATACATGAAAGTACGAACAGCTATTTTGAAGAGAACGAGAGACTCTACGACAGCTATTAGTGACTTCCCTCTTGTCTGGTTTTGAAGATCTAAATCGCCCTCCTCATTCTGTTCAGATCAGTTTTATACTATGTTGTTTTGTATGAATTTTCTGTATGCAAAGACATGGACAACTATTTGGAAGAAAATAAGAGACAATATGATAGACAGTGAAGATCTCGGGTCATATAGCTTTGAAATTTATATCTCTTGCATTGCTTTCTTATGTCCTATTTTGTTCTTTTTTGTTGTGTTTAATTTTACCCCCTTTAAAATAAAAATTTAAAAAATTTTAAAAAAAGATCACTGGAACTTTGGTATGGATTGCATCAAACCTGTAGATTGTTCTGAATCATACTGCCAACATCCTAACACTGTATTAGTGAGATATCTTTCCTTTTATTTAGGTCATTAATTTATTCCAGCAGCACATTGTACTTTTCAGTGGACAAGTCTCTCACTTCATTGTTTATATTTATCAGGAGATGTTTTATTACTTTGGGTACTATTATAATTGGAACTGTCTTCCTTTTCTCTTCAGATTGTTTCATTTTTTTGGTACCAGAAACTGACCTCAGGACTTGTGCTTGCCAGGCAGGCACTTATGCCATTCAGTGTATCCCCAGCTCTCAGATTGTTTCTTGCTGGCCTATAAAACCAAACTGATTTGTGTGTGCTGATCTTAGAGGTCATGATACTTTTGATCTTACATAGCATGTATTATTTGGAAACTTGCATTTTTGTGCTCAGCATTCTGTGCGAATTATCCATGGCCCCAAACACAACTAGTTCATTCAGGTTTTTCTTCTTGTATGAATTCTGAAGATACCACAATTTATCTCTTCTCCTAGTTGGGCTATTTCCAGCCTTTCACAATGCAACAGTGCTGCTCTGCGTATTCGTGAGGAGGGGCAGGGATCTGAGTCAGGGCTGCACAATTATCTGTGCAAGCCTTTTATAACTAACAGAAACAAAGTCCCATCTCCAGGTATAATGATTCAGTTGATCCCATGTTGGTTTTCAGTACTTTTAAAAGATCCTTAATGTTTAGTCTATGTGGGGAATTACTATTCTAGAACATATACTTCAGAGTGGAATTCCTAAGTATGTTCACTTTCAGTTTTATCCCATACAAAATAGTTTTCCAATATAGCTATATTATACCAGCATCATCGGCAATACACATTGCTCCAATACTGTCAGACTTTTACATTATAGAAAATGATCATGAAGTAATCAAAATATTCTCCTGTTCCTTTATGAGAAAGGTCTAAAGTTTTACTTTTTTTTTTTTTTTAAGACAGGCTCTCACTGCATAGTTCAGGCTAGCTTTGAACTCACTATGTACCCTGGACCATCCTCGAACACACTACAATCCTCCTGTTAGCCTTCATAGTGCTGGGATTACAGACATGCACCACTACACCTGGTTTAAAGTTTTACTTCTCATGTTTAGTTTTGTTTGTTTTTGTGGTGCTGGGACTGAACCTAGCACCTTTGCCCTGAGCTACATCCCCAGCCTTTTTATTTTGTATTTTACAGTAGGATCTTATTAAGTCACTAAGCCCCAAGCTGAGCTCCAACTTGGTATCCACCTGCCTCAGTTCCCCAAAGTGCTGAGATTACAGGCATGTGTCAGCATACCTGGCCTCATGTTTCAGTCTTTAATGTAGATGGGGTTTTTGCTTTATTTCTTGGTGGTTAACAAAATTTCTTAGAAAAATTTACCTTTATACTGTTCCCTTTATCCATTTCCCCTACTGCAACAATGCCTCTGACATATAACAGGTTCATTCTTGTCTCATGACCAATTTGCCATCTTTGGGGGCTAATATCAGAATATCTTATTTTCTCCATGTCCCTCTTCTTCAGTAATATTTTGGCTACTGCACATTGGTAGCCAGACGAAAGTTTACAGTAAAAAGTTTTCCATTTTTATACATGTATGACTTTTAAAAATAATAAACTGTTGGGGGAAATACAGCTCACCTAGCCTTAGCCCTTTTATTCAATTGGAACCAGGTCCCTGTTGCCTCAACCTTAGAGAAAAGGGTAAATATTAGTGCAGTAATTAAAATTTCAAATTCTAGCTGGCAAGAGTGTTGCGGTGAGACAGTGCTGTTTTATGTCGCACCTACTTCACAGTTGAGAAAGTGTCCCAGTCTTTCTGCGCCACTAAGGATCGGCTTCGTTTAGCCTCGCGCCCCCAGCCTGCTTGCCTCAGTCCTCTCCATTTGCCTCCTATGTCAGCCTGTGGTCCTTTGCTTCTTGTTGTCTGAGGAGAAAAGGATGTCCAAGAAAGAGAGGGGCATGACACCGTCCTGGTCACACGATGCGACCCTTGTGCCGCCACAGAGCAAGAGCCACTCCCACTCCTTAGCCCCCGAATGTTTCACGCTCCTGGCTTTTTCGGGCTCTGATTGTCTCTCTGCCTCCCCATGCCGCCCTTTCCTGCTGCCTTCCGCGGTCTACTTCGTGCAGAGCTCCGCAAGCTGAATCACACACCCGGTGGCGGGCAAGCACCTCCGCTAACTTTCCATTCAACCCTGCGACTCGGGCCCCGCCCCTTCCCGCTCCCAGGCCGCCAGCCGGTATTCTTCGTGGCCACTAGGGGGCGCGCGCGACCCAATGTGGGCGCGGAACCACCAAGGGCCCGCCCTGTCCGGCCGCGGTCCCGCCTCTCCAGACGCCCGCCCAGTCCGCCGCGGCCTCCCAGCCTCTCCTCCCCCTCGCGCCCGCGACTCCCTGTCTTCGTGTCGCGCCAGTTCCGGCCATGGGCTCCACCGCTCACCCCGTGGGGAGGTCGCTGCCGCTGCCGCTGCCGCCGCCTCCTCCGTCGCCCCCGTCGCCGCTGCTGTTGCTGCTTCCCCTCCTGCCGCTGTGGGTGGGCCTGGCGGGTCCTGGGGCCGCAGCGGACGGCAGCGAGCCGGCTGCCCGGGTGGCGCGGGGCGGAGCCCGTGCTGTGCGGGTGGACGTGAGGCTGCCGCGGCTGGACGCTCTGGTCCTGGAGGGCGTCAGGATCGGCCCTGAAGCCGACCCGGCGCCCCCGCTGGGCGGCCGCCTGCTGCTGGTGAGCCTGCCTCTGACACCCCGGCATAGACCCGGCACCCACACCGCGCCTTGCTCCTAGAAAGGAGCCCTAACAGCCCAGCCACCCCTCCCAAGGCTGCTTTGCAGGCTTCCAAAACCTGAGATGCCCTGCTCTCCATATGCGCTCCCCAGACCCTGTCCTTGCATCCTCTTGTGCCCGACCCCATCTCCCACTACCCGCCCCCCCCCACCTCACTCTGCTCATTGATCCTTGCTACACAGATGGACATCGTGGATACTGAGCAAGAGGTGCCCGTAGAAGGCTGGATTGCAGTGGCATATGTGGGCAAGGAGCAGGAAGCCCAGTTCCACCAGGAGAATCAGGGCAGTGGTGCCCAGGCCTATCCCAAGGCCCTGGTCCAGCAGGTGCAGAGGCTTTGTGAGGGAGGGAGTTGGGGGGAAAGGTTCCCAAGTTATCTGCTAGAGCCAAGCCACCCTAAGGAGAATCCCTTGGCCTGTGTTCCTTAGGGAACTGCAGTTCGAGAACCAGGCTGTACTGTGTGAAACCAGGGAAGTGGGAGAAGGCTCCTAGTTGCTCTGGAATCTGTATCATTGTGAGAGGGGAGTTCTTGGAGGGCCAGGCAGAACTGCCTTGTGGGAACCAGGGAAAGGGCAGTTATTTGGATTGTACAGAGCAGGAAGTATGAGAGCTTTTGCCCTTGACCTCAAGAAGCTTATAGCTCTTCCAGAGGAGAGGCTTACAGCAGAAAGGAGAGCTAAGAGCAGTGGGACTGCAGGAAGTGAGACAGGTGTGACAGAGTACATGCCAGCCTCCTACCTGTCCTGCAGATGCGCCGGGCCCTGTTCCTGGGAGCCTCTGCCCTGCTGCTTCTCATCCTGAACCACAATGTGGTCCGAGAGGTAAACCAGAGAAAGCTTTGAGGGTGGGCTGTGAGGGTGAGGGAGGGGAAGGGAAGACCAGAGCCTACTGACCTCCCTGTCCCCTCTAGCTGGACATTTCCCAGCTTCTGCTCAGGCCTGTGATTGTCCTTCATTATTCTTCCAATGTCACCAAACTGTTGGAGGCACTACTGCAGTGAGTTGGGGTTTGGGATCCAGAAAAGACTGGGTCTGGGAGCCTGGGTGCTGATGCTCCCTGGCTCTCCTGCGGGTTCGGAGGACTCAGGAGCAGGGCGGCTGTCACCTGTCTTAAAAGTATACACTCCTGGGCTGGCAGTGAAGAGGTTGGGAAGATGGTAATAGGGTTGTGTGAGAACTGGAAAAATCAAGTGGGAAAGGACGGAACCAAAGCAGGCCTGCAGGGGAGATGTTTTGTGGATTCCACTGCAGGGCTGGGGTGGGTGAGTCTGGGTCTCCTTCTGCCTGTCTCCTTTGTTACTTTCCTTCCCAGGAGGACCCAGGCCATAGCTGAGATCACCAGTGGAGAATCCCTGTCAGCCAACATTGAGTGGAAGCTGACCCTGTGGACCACCTGTGGCCTCTCTAAGGATGGCTATGGAGGATGGCAGGACCTAGTATGCCTGGGAGGTAGTCGTGCCCAGGAGCAGGTAAGTGCAAGTGGATTCTGTTGAGTCCTAGGAGGGGCAAATCCTGCAGGGTCTCCTTGCCTTGATGGTAAGGGCAGCCTTTCCCACCTCACAGTCTGATGTGTTTAGTGACACAATGCAGGGGGCCCTTCATGAAGCATCTGGCTGAAGGTCATGTGCAGCCTGTCTAACCTGCTGTCATTATGCTGCTCTCCCACTCAGTAGTCTTCTTTGGCTCCCTATTGTTTTTAGGATAAAGTTCAAACTCCTTAGTCTGGCTTTTATAGCTCTTCTCACCACTTGACTTATTTTTCTAGCCTTTTCTCTATGCTCTGATCACCCTCTGCTATTTACTGGCCTCCACATGTGCTCTGGTCCTCTGCTTCTGGGTCTTGTTCATCCTTGGCCCTAGGCATCGATCCTTTTTTTCTCCATCTCCATAGGGCCCAGTCCAGCAGCACCCTCACAGATCATACTGCCTGCCTGCTTTGGACTGCTCCTCATATCCTCTGCTCGAGGTTCTCTCCCTCTGAGGAGAGAGGTTCCCTCCTCTCCCTCAGGGTAGCCCACCCTGTTTGTGTTAGGAAGCATGGAATATGTTCTCTTTGTCTATAGATTTACAAATGTTTGACATGAAGGGGCTCAAAAGTATCCATTAGCATTTCTCGAACCCTGTATCTATGCTAGGCAAGCATGCCTGATGAGCAGCCATTAGCAGGTGTCATCAGCATGGGCTTTAAATGTTCAGCAGCTTCAAATCAGGCAGACTGGGCTCAAATCTTGGCTTTAAAATCTTAGCTGATGAGGCCGGGGATTTAGCTCAGTGGTGTGAGCGCCTGCCTGGCAAGTGCAAGGTTGAATTCAATCCCTGGTACAAAAAAAAAAACCTTAGCTGAGTGATCATACATCAAGTGTTTAAGCTCTCTGGTCTCATGTTCCTCATTTGTGAGTAGGAATAGTACAGTATACATATTGAGATATATGTATCTCCCTACTGGGCATCCAATACAGATCTTTGGACAGGGTAGGGATTTGATGTAGGGCTGAAGAAAAGTCAGCTGGGGAAGAAGAGGAGCAAACCAAGGAATGGGCTTCAGGAGGCCTGAAGTTTTGTTGTTGTTGTTTTGGTACTGGGAATCAAAGCCATGACCTCCTGCTTGCCAGGCTGGTGTTGTGCCACTGAGCTATATCCCCAGCCAGGCCAGGAGTTGAGAATGTCTACAGTCTGCAGTTAGGACTGGCTGATAAGAAGGCAAAGCTGAACAGCCCTGGGCATACTGCTAGCCAGGGTGGGCCTGGTCCATATGAGTATTAGGTGGCCATGGAAGCCGAGGTGGCCAAAGGGCAGCTGCACAAGCATCTCAGCTAGCTGGCCTGATAGGTACTAGACCCTCAGCCCTGACACCTGGGCCCAGGTGCCATCCTGAGCCAGCCTCTTAGTAGTCTTTGGGAATCCAGAGCTGGATACCTATGTATCAGGAAGCTCAGACCAACGACATTCTTGATAACAAGCCCCACCCACACCCTCCTGCCTTTCCTAGGGGGCCACACACACACACACACACCCCGCCACAGCCAGGTGCACTGAGCTTGGATGTTCCAAAGCAGACTGTGCCCTGGAGAGTTCATGCTGTAGTGGCCACTCAGCAAGTCCTGCCCTGTGTCAGCCTGTTTCAGAACACAATGGTACACAGAACAGGGCAGCTGTAGTACTGGGCTCATAGGACCCAAACTGGGGAGTGGATAAGCTATAAATATTGTTCTTCTAGAGTAAGGGCTGAGCTGGTAGTGGGCACAAGAGTCTCCAGATTATAACAAAGGCACCTGAGCTCAGCCTAGGGTTTGAGGGGAGCTTCCCAGATCAGGTGCCAATACCCCAGTGAGACAGGAGGGAAAATGGGGGCAGGTGCATAGACCTCTCTCAGTAATGGTCCCCAAAATACCTCCACCTCAAGAAAAGCAATGTCTTGTAGCACTAGCATTCCCCAACCTGGTTTAGAGTAATGCCTTTTTATCATGAAAAATATTTCTTATCTCTTCCTGTCATGATGGGAGTTGAACTTTAGCATTCTTTGTTGGCAGAGAGCAAGCACCAGGAGTGCTGAAAGCTTTTAAGTGAATGTGTTTATTAGTCATAACACATCTATTGGCTGTGTGAAATAAGCTTGCCTGTGTGGGAGAGCATGTCTGTCTTACTGTGCCACGTCATTTCCTGAGCTAGTTCTTCAGTGGCCAAAATCTAGAGCCACACTGCATGTGGTGGGAGCTAAGTCAAGATCAGTGCAGTTCCCCTAGCAATCGGAAGCCCCTTGGTCATTTTACAATGACCTCTCAGTTGTGTTTCCCAATTCTAGTCCACAATTGAGCTGCTAGATGGAAGTGAGTGGCGGATAGTACAGCCCAAGAAAGCAGACCAGGAGGAAGTGCAGGATAAGGATGGGGTAGGAGCGTGCGAGACAAATGTGGCTGTCCTTGCACCAGAGTGAAGCAAAGGCAGCTGGGACAGATCCTGAGGAGGACAAGGGTGGGAAGGACAAGGACTTGGAAGAAGGAATCCAAGAGTCCACAGAGGCCTTTGATGCATGTGACTTCCCTGTTCATGGGGGTGGGTGCTCCCAAGGGAAATACAAGGAGTGGCTCCAGCACCCCTGACAGCTGCTTCCCTTCCCTAGAAGCCCCTGCAGCAGCTGTGGAATGCCATTCTGATGGTGGCCATGCTCCTGTGCACAGGACTTGTGGTCCAAGCTCAGCGGCAGGCATCACGACAGAGTCAACAGGAGCCTGGAGGCCAGGTGGGAACCAGATCACAGGAACCCTGGTACCCCCAGCCCTCAGGCCTATGAGACTGTGGCCGTCCTCTTGCCACAGGTGGACCTTTTCAAGCGCCGTGTGGTGCGGAGACTTGCCTCCCTCAAGACCCGGCGCTGCCGCCTGAGCAGAGCAGCACAGGGCCTTGCAGAGCCTGGCACTGAGACCTGTGCAGTGTGTCTGGATTACTTTTATAACAAGCAGGTTAGTGGCCTTGGCAAGACGAGCCATCAGCTGAGCTGTGACTTCCCCCACTCTATTCTTGGGCAACCTTGGGACCACCCCAACCAGGCCCTCTGCTTTCTGAGCAGGACTACAAACCAGAATGAGGTTGGGCCAGCAAGTAGAGGTTGGGGGAATAGGGTCTAAGAGGATTCAGTTTCCCAACTTAAGTGAGGGGTATGGGCCCAGACTTCCCACTTGGAGCCCTGCTCCTTGACTTGAGCCCCTCTCCCATCCCTGTAGTGGCTCCGGGTGCTGCCCTGCAAGCATGAATTCCACCGAGACTGCGTGGACCCCTGGCTGATGCTCCAGCAGACCTGCCCACTGTGCAAATTCAACGTCCTGGGTAAGTAAGCACTGGGGTGGCACCCTTAGGCCCCCGTGGCTGTCCCAGTGGCCCTACCTAATGTCTCCCCTCCCTTTCTTCCTCCTCCTCCCCTGCAGGGAACTGCTACTCAGATGACTAACTGCCCCACTGGGGATTCTGTGTGCAGGAACAGAGCCTTCCGCTGTATCCGGCCCTTAGCCTGGGCTCCTGGACAGAACAGTGGAATGGACAGGGCAGTCAGCCCTACAAGTGGAGGAAGGATGTGGGTCCCAGCATACCATGCTGGGAAGCAGCCCTGGCCAAACATGCAAGGCCAGGACCCACTAGGCCAGGGTGAGAAGTCACTTTGTGGCCCTTTTCTCCAATCTTGGGATATGTGCAGCTTCTGGGACACTGTAGAGAAAGTATGGGACCAGTGTAGCCAGGATCCCTGCAAGCTGGGGTTGCAGTGGCTATCTTATGCTTATTTATTGGGGGAGGGGTGGACTGAGGAACAGGCTGTCTGGCCTTGGGGCACCCTGGCTTATCTCTCAAGATAGTCTTTTATTTTGTTTTGTTACTGGGGGATCCAACTCATGACCTCATGCTTGCTAGGCAGGCACTTATGCCACTGAGCTAAATCCCCAGCCCTCAAGATAGTCTTAATTAAGGCTGTTATGTTAAACCCAGAGACCCCTCTACCACTTGCTGTCCTCGGTCATTGGGCACTGGGAGTCACAGACCCTGCTGCTGTCCATCTGGGCTCCCAACCCAGACCTGGCTGGGATGAGGCCTTAGAATCTACCCAGTCTTTTACTTCTTGGTTGAGCTGTGTTACTCACCAAGATACAGTACTTGAAGCCACAGGATAAATGTGGTGCATCTTCCAAGGGCATCCATTTTTTTTAAGAGTTGGGAATGGGAAGTTTTAGTAGTAAAATAAAAATGGGTATATTTTAACATAAGATACAAAGTTTATGTGCATGTTTTAAGATTTTTTTTAAAAGTTGCTTTGGGTTTTACTGCCCGTGGTAGGTGAAATTCTCAGATGACTCTTCAAAACCCCCACTCCCACTCCACCACGAACACTCTCTATATAATCTATGGGATGGTGACTGTCACATAAACCCATTATGTGGCTGGTCGAAGTCAGGGACATGAAGCACAAAGGGGATTCAATGCTACAACATTTTCTGGTGCTCACTTGAAGATGGAAGGGCCATGAGGTAAGGAAGATGGAAATGGAGACCTCAGTCCTACAGCCATGAGGACTGCATTCTGCCAGCAACCAGAATGAGCTTGGAAGATTATTACCCAGGGCTAACAGAAAGAAACACGCCCTGGATTTCAGCCTTGAACCCTAAACCAAGAACCCAGCCGTGCAGGGCCTGGACTTCTGATTTGCAGAACTGTTAGCTGACAAATGGGTGTCATGTTGGGAGAGGCCTGGGAGTCATTCAGCTGTGAGAGGGCTTCTCTCTGAACTTGGGCCAGACCATCTGCTCAAGGAGCCACCCTTAATGGCTGGCTCTCCCCTTGGGGCTGGGCTGGGGAATCCCAGCCTCTTCAAGAACCCTGGGACTTGTCAGAAGCCAGAGTTAGGAAGACTTAACAGTGCCAGCCGTGCTACATATGTGGACCCCTTGATCCTTCTCTGTAAACTTCAGTGTTCCACCACCTGGTGGTCTCCTTACCATCTTCACCAGGGAAAATGCAATAGAAGGCTGAGAGCCAGCCTGAGAAATTCTTACTGAGGAGGGCTGGGGGGTGTAGCTCAGTGGCAGACTGTTTGTCTAGCATGCATAAGGCCATACGTTTAATCCCTGGTACTAGAAAAAAAAAGTCCTCAGTGAACTTATGTTTCACAGATAAAGGGAAAATTGACGGCGCCAGGTCTTCCTTCTTGAGGACAATGACCACTGTGTGTCAGGGGTGCTTCATGACATGAGTGCCCAGCCACATGGCACCCTAGGTTGAATAGGCCCCAGGGTCTAGGTCTAGTAAAGTCAGGACTGGCTAAACTCTCCAAACACCTGGCCCTACCTTTGGTGGCCTCTTTGGTTCTGACCTTCAGGATGTACAAAACTCCTTTGTGAGTTCCTTGGTGAAAGGATTCCTGGTGCTCTTGAGTCCTTAATGTCTCCAGGCCCAAGTTTAAAGCCAGGGTGGGAGGCTGAAGGTGTCACTGTCCTCTGCCTGCTTTGGTGCACCATGAGCCAAGATCCTGGCCTTGGATTCCTTACTTGCTTCAGATGTCCTTGCTGGCCCTTCCCCAGTATAATGTTACTCTGACACGGGTGCCAGACTGTGTTCAGCTTTGCCCCTTGACCCTTGCCATGATAGTGGAAGGTCTGCCCTTCACCTGGCCCAGGTACTAGAAGCTTCTTTCTGCCCTTGATGTGTTCTCTCCCATAACCCACCCAGATGGGGCAGAAGGCTCCTCCTTACCGAGGACCCACAGTGCCAGGTCTCTGCTGGCCATGTCTTTCCTGACCAAGGTCCTGCAAAGGGAAGGAAGGACTATCCCCCCAGTTCAACCATGCTGTCAGGCCAAGAATGCTATAGGAAGATGGCTGGGGCTTTATTCCATTGGGAAGTTGCCAGCCACCTGCCCTGCAGCCCCATCTCAGCTGCAAGTTATGTGGGCCGCTCCTGGGACTGTTGTGCAGAGCTTGCTTGGCCCGGATTTGGTGAGAGTCTCTTCCTCAGCCTGGCCAAGGCCCGGATGGGATTCTGACAGATAGCAGAGTGAGTCACATCCTCGAGGGAAGAATTGCTGGGCTGCTGAGGAGAGGATCTTTGGGGATGACCTGGTGGGGTCTTGCCTGTGCTGCCCATCCTGCTGCTAGGAAGGTGCCGTCTGCTCAGGGGCCTGAGGACCAGTTTACAAGATCCCCTATAAGTGAGGGGGAATGCCACCCATCTGCCCTCCCTTGGGCAAAGCCTTGCTTACCTTGGGGAGATTCTCTGGGCCTGGGCCAAAGGTGCTGTTCTCTGGGTGCCCTTGCCAGGAATGGACCACAGCTGATCCTGTGGGATGAGCTGCGAAGAAAGCCAAGCTCAGAAGGGCCTATGAGCCCCCTCCCCACTGCAGAGAAGGTCTCACAGTAGGAATGGAGGGAGAGCCCAAACTCATACCTTTCCACTTAAGGGGCAGGGAAAGCTAGCTAGGGCTTCTTCAGCTGCAAACTCTTGGGCAGGCAACACATGTGGGAAAGTTCTGAGAAGGCTCCCAGTTGCACTTAAAGGTGCAAAGGGCTCTAGGTCTATTTGGAGCCAGAAGGCACTGAATCTGTAATATCTTCACACCTTCTTGATGTGTGGTAGAAGTTTCACAAAAGCACAACGTAAATCCACATGCCATGAGGCCTGCTCTCAGCTCTTGACAGGTTCCTCTTCTGGGGAGGGGCCTCCTCCAATCCCCTAAAGTCTACCCACACGTCTACCTTGAGGCCCCCCTGCTCGGCCACTTGACGGATTTTGGATAGCATTGACTGGAGCTGACCATTCTCCTCCTGCAGGACCCGGATGCGGATGTTATTAGCCTGTATTTGCCCCTCCATGTCATCTGTGACGTTGCCAGAGCCTGTGGGGACATGATATAGTACTTGGGACCCTGCCTTACCCAGGTTAGCCTGTGTCCAAGGGACAGACCTCAGAGGCCAGGCACAGGCAGCTGGATAGTACACTGGACCTCCCATCACATCTTCCTCCTCTTGAAGCTTTGTTCCCTTTCCCTGTTTCCCCATCTGCTGTGAAGGTGACAGCACTGTCATCACTGAATAAGAGCACTGTGTGAGCCTAGAACTCATGATGATTTGGCAAATTATCAAGAGTGAATCTTATCCTCATTGAGAGAGAGAATGAATATGAATCTTCCAAGCTACCTGTTTGGGCAAGCCAGAGAGACAGTGAGTTGTCCAAAGAGTCACAAGAATTCAGGCAGCTCTGGAAATGAGTCACAAGAATTCAGCAAGGATGTTCTTTCCTATGCTATGGGGATGGATACTTACTTCCAGCTCTCTAAACTTTGGCATGTTCTGGTTCTGTTTTCTGCTTTATTTTATTATTATTATTATTATTATTATTATTATTATTATTTTGTCTTTTTCATTTTTATCGGTACCAGGGATCGAACTCACGACTGCCTGCTTGCAAGGCAGGTACTTATGCCGCTGAGCTAAATCCCCAGTCCCTCTGCTTTATAAAAAATGGATTGCTGCTTGCCTGATAGGACAGTTGTGAGGTGACAGAAGGGTCTGCCACATTAGGAATGATGACTTGTGACCACTAAATAACAGAAAATCTTCCTGGCAGCTCTGAGAAGGGATTCATCACAGGGATTTAGAGGGCTGGGAGCAAAACTCAGAATATCTGACATCTGCTTCTGAGCCAGTGCAGGTACCTAGCACTCCTAACTATGGGGATCACAACAGCACCCTGCCTTGTGGCATGGGGAGGGACACAGGGAAGTCAACCAAGGACTGCCATGGTAAATGGTGAAGTATGTACCCTAAAGGTAATCAGACCTATGATTAGGCAGCTTTGACAACCAAGGGCAGTCACCTTACCTCTGGACTTCCATTTCCCCTCTGCATAAAGGGATGGACAACACAGGAAGCACCTGCACGCTGACTGTCCACCACCCCACTAGTTGTCCTTCCCAGCTGAACCCTCAGCTGTCTGCCCAGGCCCTCTTATGCCCTAGATGTCAAGCTCAGGCCCTTACTTTTTATTTGGGCCTCCATGGGCCTGTGCAGGTCAGGGAAGGTCACCAGCAGCCGCTCCTGCTCCCTCAGCTCTGCCATCTCCTGTTGCAGGTCCAATATGGTCAGCCGCAGGTCTGTTGTCACCTGTTCCAGGTCCTGCTTCTCCCGCTGCAGGCTCTGCAGCAGCTCCTGAGGTATGGAGAGGCTCAGACCTGGCCCCAGCATGGCTCCTGGCTCCCTCCTCCCCTGGGGACACCACCCCACCCCCAGGCACAGGATAGACATGCAGGGGCTCAGCAGGTTAGAGGCTCCTCTGCTGAAAGGGAAGGATCATCCCCACCCTCAACCTGTCCACTTGCACCTGCTGGGCCTGGAGCTGGCACTGTCCCTGGTCCTTCTCACTCTGTAGGCTTTGGAGCTGCTCCTCCATCTGGGCCCGCTGGCCCTCAGCCTCATCCAGACCTCTCTGCAGCTCTTCACGCTCCTGGTCCAGGCTGTCCAGCTGCTGAAGCAGGGCCCGCTGTTTGGTCTGCAAGGACTAGTGAAAACAGATGGGGTGTGAGGCCCTCAGGGCTAGGCCAACAGCCAGATGGGATGAAAGAGGCTACAGTATTCCTGTCCCTCTGAACCTCCGTTTATGGCTCACATCTGTGGGGAGACCACACACACCTAAAGGGGGAGAGGTGGAAGGAAGACAGCAGCAGATACACACCAGCCTGGTTTAGGCTTGGGCCTGCAGCTTGCAGACCCCACTCTCTTGGAAGACAGTTGGCTGAGCGTGGCAGCCACATCCACACACACACTCCCACACACTTCTTTCCAGTTGGATATAGTCCCCACTACAAGAATTCTGGGAAATAAACTTCTTCTTACATCTTCAGTGGTACATTAGCCAGTCATTAAAATCTACATTGCCAACATTCACTGAGTATAAAGCAGGAAAAAACAGTGGGGTTCTGCTGTGAATCCTGGCTTCATCTCCTGCTACCTGTGTGGCCTGAGCCTACTTCCTTCACAGCCTCAGTTTCCCCGTTTATGAAATGCAAATGACAGGAGTATCTCCCTCCTCTTGTGATGGCAGGGATCAAGGACAGGGCTGCCCACACAGGCTAAACCTCAGTATCTGTGCATTGGGCCTTACCTCCTGGTGGCGAACCATGCTGTCCACACGGGCCTTCTCCTTGTCGAGCTCTGTGCTGGCCCATCGGATCTGCTGGCCGGCTCCATCCAGCCGCCCTGCCAGCAGCTGTACCTGCTCCTCTAGCTGCTGCACTTGCCTCTCTGCTGCCACCCTGTGCTCAACTTCCTCCTGCAGCTGCTGAACTTTTGGCTCTGCAGGATTGAGTGAGTAGGCATTGGGGCCAGGGCAAGCAAGTAAGTCCCTGCACTGCCCCAGACCTAGGAAGGGATCCAAGGGGAGGTCCCCATCATATCTCTGAGCTTTAGTGTTCTCAGTGCAACATGGGGCTCTGGACCCCTTAGAGGGTCTGGAAGAAAAGTGTCCTTTGGGAAGGAGGTAGCACATAAGCTTAGGTGGTTGCCTGACAGTACTGGGTCACCCTACTATAGCAATCCTTCTCTTTGTCTCAGAAATGTGGGAGACAGAGATGCAAGACACTTGTCCAGCCACATCACTGGACTGAGACATGGCACAGGGATATAAAACAGGGCTTCTTACCCATGGACTGCACGGACTCCTGCTGCTGCTTTAGCTCTCCCTTGAGGTTGGTCACCTGCATCTTTAGATCATGTATTTCTGTAGCAGCCAAAAGAAAGGCCGTTCAGGGTGGCCCCTTGGCCTGACCAGGAACCCTCATTCTCAGAGCACCCTGCAGAATGGAGGCAGCTATGCTATGTGGAGAGGCCACAAAGGAACACTGAGGAGGTGTGCAGGTCCCTGGGACCTTGTCCTGCCTCTCACTGGCTGGCTGCCACATGCTGATATCTCTTTGGGCCATGATGTCCTCCATACAAGCAATGGCGAGGCTTGGGAAGGGCAGTGACTTGCTCTAACCCTCCAAGACTCACAACATAGTAAGTCCTGGAAGCTTTTAGTATTGTTGCTTTTGCCTGATAGTTTCTGTCAAAGCCAAAAAGACTGCTCTGGTGGGGTGCAGAAGCCAGAATAAGCTCCTAGAAGTAACCCTCAGTGATGGCCGAGAGAAGTGGATTAGTAACCCAGCTCTCTCCCTCTTTGAAGGGGACAACCAAGGCACACAGGCTACCCACTGTTTGCTGGTGTACCCCAGTGGGTATGAGCTCCAGCACGGAGTGGTATTCTTAATAGCCGTATCGTGTGACCCTTGGATCGGGAGGCTCAGGAGTTCACCAGTTAGACTGACACATCCTTTACTGCCTTTCTTTCCTTGCCTATTGCCCACTCCCCAGTCTATGTTTCTTCATATAAACCACTGGTACTGGTCTCATGTCACAGGGTAGAGCAGGGCCCTTGGGCACTGAGTATCTGGCTTCTGAGGTACAGACCTGCAAGCAGTTGCTGCCTGTCACACTCCCACTTGGTCAGGCACCGCTTGGATTCCTCCTCCTGCCGTTGCCGCTCACCCTGTTCCTGCCGCAAGTCCTGCTCCAACCTGCCCACCTGCTTCTTCAGGCCATCCTTCTGCCTCTCAGATTCCTCCAGCTGGGCCCTAAGAGGCCCAACAAGCTGAGAGAGAGTCCCTATGTGCTTACTGAGGCGTGTCAGGTCTTTGCTCTGCTTTTCTGCCCAGTGGCTCATGGTGGCAGCTGGTAAAGGCCTGATCCCCATGCTGTCCTGCACCAGCTGCTGGAACTGGCCCAAGGATGAAGGCAAGCTCTGGCTCTGACAAAGGCTGATGACCACCTTGCTCACTTCCCACAGGCTTCCCTGGACACTGGTGCATGCATCACAGGGCACCAAGGCTGTTTCAATGGTCTGGGAGTGGACGCTCTTGGTGTTCTCAGAGGTCCCGGCTGGGGACTTTAGGGCGGTGGGGATGCTCTGCGGCCTTTGGCAGGTCTGGTGTGAGCCTAATGTTGGAGAGGGAGGCTTGATCAACTTGGCAGTAACACTTTCAGAGCTCCCAGATGACTTGCCCTTGGCTGTGGGCTTAGAGGTAGGAGTTTCCCCTTGGTTTATCCTTTTCTGGGGTCAAGAAAAGAAAGTAAATCAGGTGAGACAGATGGGTCTGTAAGATGTCTGGTTCCCTAGGGATGTTCTATGACAGCCTTTAATACTCAGATGCTTTGGATGATATCTGACACCTATACAAATAGGAAAGAACTTTCTCCCTCTTTTCCTATGACTCAATTTACCAAACCCACCTCTGGCTTGATGTATGTGTGGTCCTGGGACAGTGACAGTGACAGCTACTGGTTAGTAGGCCCTTGCTTGCTTTCATACCACCATAACCACCCTTGGTTTTAGTTTCCTTCCCCTCCTGGTGATAGCTGTCCTTCTCCACTGGGTGGTAGTGGGGATTACAAAATAACCTGTAACAAATGGGACTCCTATTCCCCCTCACTGTACAGAGGGCCAGCGCTAGGATTTTTTCAGAGTCTCAAAGATAAGTGACAGCTCTAGGAACCTCAGACACAACGGCCAAGGCCTGTGTTTGCAACAACTATGTCATGTGAGTCCTGACCAGGAGGCTCAGGAGTTCACACCACTCCTCACAGACAGAGGGGAGCCAGGGAAGGAGGCAGTGCACAGTGATGCACTGGAAAGCCAGGGCAAGGTGTGAGGTGATCACAGCCAGGGCTGGGCTGACCCACCTGGGAGGCTGTCGGTTGACAGAGCATGCCTAGCCTCAGCAGGCTGTTCCAGAAGCATCGTACTGTGAGCCCCACAGACATGCAGGGCCCCGCAGCCTGGGTAGGAGGCATCACCTTCTCTGAGGCTAGGTTTTCCAGGTAGCTGGCACAGCTCTGAAGAAGCAACAGGAGCCTATGGGCAGAAATGGCAAGGTAGGCTGCGCCTGGGGTCAGTGTGTCCTCATACCACAAAACTGGCAGTTTCTAGCCTAGATATAAGGGACTCAGAGAGTCTCAACATGCTCTGCCAAACCGTCTTTATCACAATCTAGGGGCTACTTCCTACAGGAAGCCCTTCTTGACTCCAAGTTTGATTCAAGGGTCTCTTCTAGGCCTTCTTGGTGGCAGCACTTCTGTCTAGCTGTTCCCCAGGAAGTGCAGGCTTGGGCAGACCAGAAAGGGTTGGGCAGGATACTCCTAGCTAAGGTGCAGAATAATGCAAAGCCATATAGGTTGGAAGATGTATTGTTTGTTTGTTTGTTTTGTTTTTTTGGTATCAGGGAGCAAACTCACAACTCATGCTTGCCAGACAGGCACTTGTGGCGCTCAGCTATATCCCCAGCCCCAGGAAAGTGTACTCTATACTCATGTCTCACAGCCCATTGTGGGTTATAAAGGGTGCTTTCATACCAAGAGCTCCTCTAAGCCTCAGAGTAGTAACCCTGCCTTCTCCACCCCCAAGCAGGTCATCCTGCAAGGTCCCTGCTGCCTAGCAGGCTCTCATGGCTTTACTGGCATGAAAGATATTTGAGAACTGGGTTGTGATATCCAGAAAGCAGAAGGCTGATGGTCATGTTAACTTCATTATTGTTATTGCTGTTGCTGTTCCAGCTGTTAATATTACTTTGATTCTGCTGTTATCACCATCATCATCATCACCATCACCATCATTATTATTTTGGTAGCACTAGGGATTATATTCCCAGCCCTTTTAATCTTTTCTTTCTTTCTTTTTCCTTTTGGTACCAGGGATTGAACTCATGACCTTGCACTTGCCAGGCAGGTGTTTAGGCTGCTGAGCCAAATCCCTGGCCCCTTTTTATCTTTGAAGACAGCGCCTTGCTAAATTGCTAAGTTGCCCGGGCTGAGCTTGAACTTGTGACCCTCCTGTCTCAGTCTCCCAGAGTGCTGGGATTACAGGAATGTACATGTATTATTATATTTTGTGATGCAGGCAATGGAACCCAGGGCCTCATACAGGTGCTCTATCACTGAGCTGCATCCTCTGGCCAACAGGCCTTTAACAGACAGCAACAGCACAGAAGGGCTGCAACTGCAGAGAATTCAGTAGCTTTTCCCCAGCAGGGCTGGGAGTTGGACAAACACATCTCCTGTCTGGTCTTGTGAGGGGTAGGGGGAACAACACAAACCACAAGAAAAGAAAAAACAGCCTGGGATGGAAACACCGAGTAGCTGCTCTACAGTCCCAGATACACAGAAACCTGAGGAGCAGCAGTCAGAGCTGCAGTACCCTGGGGACCGAAAAGGCCAGGCGGCAGCTCCACTCCCTAAGGCAAACAGGATGGGACAGCATAGCACACAGCACAGTATGTGACACAATAAAAGGTGAGGGAACAGCAAGGCATGGTAGTGCATGACAGTAATCCCAGCACTGTGAGAGGGTGAGGCAGGCAAACTGCAAGCTCAAGCCTAGTCTAGGCAATTTAGCAACTTAGTGAATTTGCTGTCTCAAAAATTAAAAAAAAAAGGGGGGGGGCAGCTCGATGTGAAGGCCCTTGGTTGAATCCTCAGTACCAATTTTTTTTTTTTAAAGGTGATTAACTCTGGAGGGTCCTGAGCTGATCTGGCTCCTAACAGGTATTCAGTCCATGGTAATTATTGTTACTACATTGTTACTATCACTAGAAGGGGCTTCTGTGGCTGCTACTGCTGTAAGAAGCAAGTGGCAGCACCCTGAAATGGCCAGCTTCAGTCTAGGTCCTCACCTGTCAATGACCAGCTCCAGCAGCACAGCATGAGACAGCTGTGTGAACTCAGGGTCACCTGGTACATGGTCATAGTGCTCCAGCAGAGCCACCATGTCGAGGTCACAGGCTACACGGTCAGGGAACTTCCAGGAGGGGAAGCGCACAGGTCCGGCACGGGAGAACACATCCACAATGGTGCCCTGCAAGTCGGTGAGATCCTTGCGCAGGCTGTCCATGCAGGACTGGCTGCCTAGCAGGTGCGCCATTCCCACAGCTCCTGGGGCAGGCAGAGAGGAGCTTGGTTAGCCAGAGAGACATGGGTGTTACTGGAGGAGTCTTCGGAAACCTAATCTACCGGGTTGCTCCTTAGCAGACACTCGGCCTCGACCTTGGGAGAAGTCTTAATTATCTGGATGACAGTTTCTCTCCCTGTGAGCTCATGAATTGTCACCTATGGGACACTGGCAAGCAGGGCTGAGAGGCCTGAGGACCAGCCTGTGCCAAGTGCTGGGAAGCTCAGAGACACCCAGGCCTGGTCCCTGAGGATGAAATGGGTTCTTGTTCTCCACGGACAATGGGCTCTGACCTCACCTTTCACAGGTGCCTGCCTGTGAAGCTATAGCCATCGACTGGTGTCTGGCTCTTGAACTGGCCTGCAGGCTCCAGGGCTCATCCAGGTGCCTGGCTTTCTATCCTCACTGCAGGTCTGACCTCAAGCAGCCCTCCAGTCCCTGGAATGGATGAAGGTGACAGTGAGTGACCACAGACAGGCAGGAATTCTTTGGGGATAGGGTGGAGGCTGCCTAGGAAAGAGGGGAGGGTATTTCAGGATGGAAGAGTACAGTAAGTTATATCCCCAGCTCCGTTTTTGTTTTTTTGTTTTGTTTTGTTTTGTTTTGGTTTTTTTTTTTTTTTTTTGGTCTTTTTCCTTTTTATCGGTACCAGGGATTGAACTCACGACTGCCTGCTTGCAAGGCAGGTGCTTTATGCTGTTGAGCTAAATCCCCAGCCCCTCCCAGCTCCTTTTTATTTTTCACTGTGAACAATGAGTTACTACTAAGTTACTAAATTGTCCAGGTTGGGCTTGAACTTGCAATCTTTCTGCCTCAGCTTTGCAGAGGGCTGGGATTATAGGTTATCACTGCACTGGGCCTTGACCCTTTTGTTTTTAAATTGCCAAGGCTGTCCTCAAATTTGAAATCTCCTACCTCAGCCTCCTAAGTACCTATTACAGGTATGCACTATTGAGCCCAGTTGCCTTTTTTTTAAGTCACAAAGTCCAGTATTTATTTGATCTTTATGACAAATCTCAATCTGTACCAGACAGTATCTCAAATGTTTGAATGCCGCACGGGCTGGTATAGAGGATCAGACATGTGTGTTCCGTTAGCAAACAGGGACTGAGTATCCACCACCTGCTGGGTATGTATCAAGACTAGGGAGCTGGGAAGCTGGGCATGGTGGCACATGCCTGAAATCCCAGTACTCAAGAGACTGAGGCAAGAGGATTTCTGAGAGTTCAAGGACAGCCTGGGCTACAAAGTAAATTCAAGGCCAGTTTGAACTGCACCGTGAAACCCTGTCTCAAAAAAGACTAAGGAGCCAGTAATCCCAGCACTAAGGCAGGAGGATTGCTGCAAATATAAGGCCAGCCTGGGCTACACAGTGAGTTGAAGGCCACCCTGAACTACACCATAGCAAGACTGCCTCAAAAAAACCCACAAAACAAAACAAAGACTAGGGCAAAAGCAGGGCATATATAACTCTGTCCTCTGGGAACTAGCCACTATGTCTAAAGGTCTTTACAAACAGTAAACTTGGATGAATCAGCTTTACCCACCACAAAGAAAGCCATGTTTATTGGTATTTGTGTACACACACGAACACATAAATGTTTGCACCCTACACACACCCTGTTTTGGCAACTGTCTACTGAGGTACTACTGCCCAAGAGATTTTGTGTCCCAAAGGAGTGAAATGGAAACAAAGAAAAAAAACAGACCAAAACATTTTAGTTTCCTCCCTGGAATGGGCATCAAGGGAACAAATAAAGCAAGTGAAAAGCTCCTCTGGGAGAAAGTAGGCATAACACCTAGATTGTTAATAAGCTTGCTTATGAAGGTTTATAAAAGCCTCACTGATCTGTTCACCTTCAAATAAGGTACTAGCAACCTGGAATGGTGGTGCACACCTATAAATCCCAGCAGTCAGAGACAGAAGCAAGAGGATTGCAATTTTGAGCCCAGACTGTGCCAGTTTAACAGGACCCCATCTCAAAAACTAAAAGGGTTTGGAATGTAGCTCAATCTAAAGGCCCTAGCTTCTATCCCCAGCACCAAAAAAAGAAAACAAAATAAAAAAAATAACAAAACAAAAACACCCACTACGGGGCCACAACATAGGGCCATCTCACATACCAACTGACTCCCATTCTGGTTCAGACACAGCAGCAAATGCCAAAGCGTCAAGAATATCCAAGGTTACCTATAATCTCAGCAAACTAGGAGGCTAATTCGGGGGATCACAAGTTCAAGCCCCTCCTGGCCAATTTAGAAATTTAGTGAAATTTAGTCTGGGGAGATAGCTCAGTGGAAGGCCCTGGGTTCAATCCCTAGTACAAGAAAAAAAAAAAGTAGAGAAGGGGAGGAGAAGGGAGAGAAGGGAGAGTATGAGGGGAGGGGAGGGGAAAGGAGAGGACAGGAAAAGAAGTACAAGGTTATATTTTGTGGAGTTTTCCTGAAAACGGAAGTTATGCAGATGCATAAGTCTGAGGAGCACTTAGGCACATATGAAGTAAATGAGCATTTAACATTCTCTGTATTCCTAGGTCCTGAGCAGAACCCTCAGCCCTGACCTATACCTGTTACCACACATGTGATGGCAGTAATTTAGCCAACACTGCCCTTAGTAGGAGTAGCAGCTTACGCTACTTCCCTCTAGTACCATAGGCTCCAGGTTAAAAGTTTGACTTGCAGAAAAGAGCAGAAGCCTTTCCTCCCTTTACATTCAACATTCAAGCCCATTTTTTCTCTCAGACCTAGTACCCTACCCCACTGGTCAAGATTATGCTTACTGCCTCTGGCAAGCAGCCATTCTCTGTCTATAAAAGGAGCCAGCTGGGATAATGAACCTTTATGTCAGCATGTTATGGGGGAAAGATGCATACTCCACATCAGTCACCAGTCACCAGTGATAACCTAATCAACAGGACACGCTGACCTGGATCACTGAGTTTCTGCAGCAGGATCTGACAAAGATGGAAGAGTTGCTGTACTCAGGGCCACCTATTGTCAGTTTATGGACAAACTCTTCCCTGGTTCCACTGCCTTAAAGAAAGTTAAGCTAGAATATGAATACATCCAGAACTTCAAAATACTACATCAAGTTTTAAGAAGATGAGTGCTGACAAAATAATTCCCATTGATAAACTAGTAAAAGGAAAGTTTCAGAACTTTCCAGCCACAGGACATTTTTAATTTTTTTCAACAGTTCCTTTACTTTTTAATTTTATTTACTTATTTTAGTGGTATGAGTAATTGAGCCCAAAGACTTCACACAGAGTTACATCCCTACCCGTTTTTATTGATTTCAGATTTTTATTTTTTGTCTTTTTGAGACAGGGTCTCTCTCTGCAGTTCAGGCTGGCCTTGAGCTCACTTTGTAGCCTAGGCTGGTGTCAGACTCACAATGATCCTCCTGTCTCTGCCCTGCTGAGTGCTGGGTTACAGGTGTGAGCGAGCACACAAGGCTTGATTTCAGATTTTTAAACAGTTTCAGTTGCCCAGGCTGGTCTCAAGCTTGTGATCCCCCTGCCTGAGACACATAGAGTGCTGACATTACTGTTGGTGCCACCACGCCCATCTACTTTTTCAGCAGATGGACACACCTGCTAAAGCCACCTACATGGCAGTTGTCATGTTCTGACTTGGGATTGCTAATTGCGTGAATCTTTTGAGACACCACTGAAGGAACTGAAAACGAAGTCAAGAAGACTGACCTGAGTTCAGATTCCCACCCTGCCAACTCTGAACTTCACAATTCTCTGTACATAGGTTGCTGTAAGAAATCATTTATGATGTACTGTTTGACATATATGGTCTGGCTCTCAGTAAATGTTCAATATATTGTAGTTATCTTTTTGGCCCATCACTAACCAGAGGCACACTTCCAATCCTGCCTGCTTCTCACTCTGCTGAGATCCTGTCCTTCCTGTCCCCTCTCCTCTCCCTCTCAGCTCTAGAATGAGGACAATCAGCTTGGTGCTCCTGGCCGGACTTCAGCTTCCTTGCCGGTGAAATGGGGCATTGATAAGAGTTTCTCCCTCAAGACCCATCCCTTCCCCACTACTTCCCTCCCTCCATACTGTAGCAGGTTTATGCCACTGTTACTGTTATTAATATAGAATAATGGTAGCTAGAGCCCAGAACCATGGCTAGTACTTGTAGTACCAGCTACTCAGGAAGATGAAGCTGGACATTGCTTGGCAGACGAGGGGCAGGTGTGAAGACTGCTCTATAGGAGTCAAGACTGGGGCCTAATAAAGCAACCCAATCTGAGACAGGATGGGACCCAGAAAAAGCAGGCCCACGGAAAAGGAGTATGGGAAGTAAAGGCGTGAGCTTAAAAGGTGGGACTTTGAGGCAGTGCGCAGAAGGGGAAGGCGCTTTCCAAAGTGGGAGGTTAAGGGAGGGAGCCGTGGAAGTACGGGTCGGAGGGAGCACGAACTGGCCTGGGGAGTAAAGCGAAGTGCTGTGGCGTCCGACTGGTGGTGCAGAACATCTCACCTGTCTCCGGCGACGCCGCCCTAGGTTCTGCGTTAGGCGGGCTCAAGGAACTGCCCGTGGCGCGCCTGTCGCTGCAAGGACCGGTACCCCGGCTGCTAGACTGCTGCCATGACAACGGCGTCGCTCTGGGCCAGCCCAGGGGTGGGGCGGGAAGTACGCAAACTGAGGGGGCGGAACCGGAAGTTCGTCAGTCTTGCCTCCGCCGCAAGATCTCGCTCGGTGGCCGCCATCTTGAGGGCTCTTCATACCTTTGGTGTGGGAGTCTGTTTTAACGCTGCAGCGGTTGTCTACACTGAGGCGGGCTGGCAGCCTTGAGCGTCGCAGTCATGCCGGCCGGACCCGTGCAGGCGGTGCCTCCGCCGCCGCCGGTGATCACCGAGCCCAAACAGGTACCGCGTTCCCTGCAACTCGACCGGCAGCCAGTGCTTAGGCCTGAGCTCTCCCCTCCATCGCGGGCGCTCGGTCCTGCGGTAGTGTGCCACGGTTCTAGAGTACTGGAAGGGACTACGAGTCCCAAGAGGCAGCGCGCTTCCCATAGTATCCTTGCGAGTCCTCTGAATGGTGATTCTAAGTAGTACCAGGCTGAGCAACTTGGGCATCACCCTGGGAGGGTATTAGAAATGTAGAGTCCACCCCAGATCTAAGTAGTAATATGCATTTCAACAGGGTCCCAAGACGATCCGTTAAAATTTGAGAAGCATTGATTCACACTTCCCATTAGTCTGTGGCGGTTGGGCCCGCCGCCCCAGTCTTTGCCCAGCAATCCCAACCTGCATGGTACATTTTTGGATGTTACTTCTCAGCATCTTTAGTGGTTGCCGTAACCCAGACATAGTGCCAGCGTCCAGCTTATCAAAATGAATGAAGCACAATCCTCTGCCATAGGAGAGCTCGCAGATTGGCAAGAAAAGAGGCAGGCAACTCGTAAACGTTTATTTTCCAGACCACTGTAAATGATACAGTGAAATTAAGCACTTTAAAAACTTATCAAATCAGGTGAGGGAAAAATATGCAGAATGGTGTGGTATGACTCAAAAGTATCAGTTAAGGAGATGGTAATCTAACAAGCATTGCTTGATGAAGGTAGGAGAAGCCCACAGGAATGAGAGATAAATTGTTTTTAGAAAGATGAATAAATAGCTCACTGGGAGGTGATTGGGAAAGGGAAATGCACACTTCACTCATTTAACATTGAGGGCATCTATATGCTGATCACTGCTTTGAATTTAGAATAGAGGCAAGAAGAAGGCAGCACAACACAACGCTAAGGCAAGGGAAAGGCTTTGTTTTTCTGAGAGGCTAGACCCTTTGATAAGGGAAAAAGCTGTTGTGTTAAGAATATGGGAACTAACCATGCCTCATGGTGCACAAGTTCAAGGCCAGCCTGGGCTACAAAGTAAATTCAGGGCCAGCTTGAACTGCATAGCAATAACCTCTCTTTAAAACAACAACAACAGCAACAAAAAAGAATATGGGAACTTGCTGGGCATTGTGGTACATGCCTGTAATTCCAGCTACTTGGAAGGCTGAGATGGGATGATCACAGATTTCAGGTGAGCCTGGGCTGGGCAACTGTATGATCCTGTCTCATACATTTGTTTAGGACTAGGGATGTAGCTCAGTGGTAGAGTACTTGCCTGGCATGCATGGGGCCTTGAATTCAGTAGCACTTAGCACTTGAAGAGTATGGAACATTATGGACAATTAGATATTCCAGTGTCATTTTATGTGTTGCATAGTGGTTCAGACTGGAATGAATAAAGAGGGAAAAAGTATTCAAGGTACAGGGAGCTCCCAGTAAATAATTTGCATTTTTTGAACTCAGAGCATTGCACATGCTATGCCAGACACTATTACCCAGCTACACCTCAGACTTCTCATTTCTTTATTCAGCAAAAAGTCATTAAATATGTAGGGTAGGTAGTGCTGGGCACAGAGTTGCAAACAGGAACATCTGGATTCTGGAATGTGATCTCCCCCCCCCCCCCCCAGAGTGAACTCGCAGCCTTCTGCTTGCCAGGCAGGTGCTTGTGCCGCTGAGCTAAATTTCCAACCCTGGAATGTGATTTTTTTCAGAATATAGCTAGAGCCCCTACATCCGAATCACCTAGATATTTGGTAAAAATGCAGATTGCTGCTCCTACTGAGATAGTCTAGTGCAGGAAGGAGCTAGCAGGTTGCCCTTTTCCCTACATCCCAAGAGCAGCCAATGCCAGTGCCACATAGTTAAGAGAACTAGCTTTCTGAAGTTAAGAATTCTAACCTGAGCAAGTCTGTGGGACAAGGTCTGTTCTCACCAGTATCCTGGAGGAATTTCATAGAGATCCTGCCTCAAACCAGGGACTTCAGACCTTACTTCCTTTTCTTGTTTTCACAGCCAACTGAAGAAGAAGGATCTTCAAAGGAGGATTCTACCCCTTCCAAGCCAGTGGTGGGGATTATTTACCCTCCCCCAGAGGTCAGGAACATCGTAGACAAGACTGCCAGCTTTGTGGCCAGGTAATGTAACTTCTGCATCAGAGATAGATTGTAGCGGGAAGAGCTCAGCACAGCAGTAGCCAAAGTGAGTGTTACCCAGTCTCACAGACACTAAGAGCCTCTGTACCTAAATTCAGTCTGAGGAAATGCCTGGACAGTGGACAGTATGTCTGTGTCTGAGCTGCCAGCCTAAGGAAGATAAAGGGAAGTCCGTCATTTGCATTGTACAAAGACCAAATTTCGTAGAGTTTTAAATGCCCTATCTGTGAAGTGGAGTAAAATGCTACCTCGTCATGGTTGTCGTTGGGCAGGCCTAAGTTGATAGAACTGTGATATTATAGAAGTGTTAGCCTTACTCCTGAGCGGGATGCAAATTGTTCAGTGTTCCTCTAGGCCCTCCTTGTTGTCTTTATATAAATATCCTTAGATGGGATCTTCTTGAGGGTCACTTGACTGCAGAGATAAATATATCTCCTGGTTTAGGGCATTTAATGTATCTTTTTGACAGCCAACTGGCTGTATCCAGCCTGTCAGTCAGTGGTGGCAAACCTATGGCACCACCCCCCGGTGGGCTGTTTGTGTTATTGAAAGCTCTAAAAAGTTTGCCATTGCTGTTATAGGTGCTTGTCCTTACAATATTTTATTAAAACTCAAACTAGTTGCCACTATTTAAAAACGAGGTGATTTCACAGTAAACGAGGTGATTTCACAGTAAGTCTGGGTTTCTGGCTTCTCTTGAGTGATACCACCTTTGTACATGGAATCTATACCTGGCCCTGAGCAGATTGCTGCCCTCTGTTAGGTCACGTGCTGTGCAGCAGCCGGACCTTGACAGTCACACCCCTGAGGCAGCATCTCCAGCACTTTGCATCATTTAATAAATGTTCCTTTTTTTCCCAACCTCCTAGTAAAATGAAACATAAAGAGAGTATTCTGGTTGATCTCTTTGCACTGTGTCTGCTCTGTTCAGATTCATCTAATCACATTTAAAGGGCTTTGATTAGCCTGGGTATTGAGTTAAAAGCTGCTTGTGCTTGATTGACGATTATTAGGCCATATCAGAGTTAAGTCAACAGGTATTGTGTTTAAGATAAACATTTAATGTCTCATAGCTACCTTCATACCTTGTCTTTTTTCCTTTTCTTTTCTTTTCTTTTCTTTCTTTTTGGTCTTTTTGAGATAGGATCTCATTAGGCAGTTCAGGCTGGTCTTGAGCTTACTTTGTAGCTCAGATTTTTCCTCGAACTTACTACTATCCTCCTGCCTTAGCCTCCAAACACTGGGGATTACAGGCATGCACCACCACACCTGGTTCCTCTGCTATTTTTGAAACAAATAGGAAAAGAGTGTTGGGTAAAGAATCACTACAGTCTATCAGATTAGTTTTTATTGGCTGTTTTTACTTTTTTCTGTTTCCTTCTGGCCCTTGGCATCTTCTTTTGGATCCTTGTAATACTGTCTTGCCTCTGTCTGTCTTCTGGACTGTGTTATAAGTACTTCTCATTGTTCACGGCTTTCCTTACACTGTACATTCTTTTGCGATATATTCTGCCCAGTGGTGAATCTGGCTTAACTATTTTCGCTGCATTTTCCTTTAGAATTGTTGCCAGTGTTTCCATTTGGTTAGTGGAACTGTACAGAATCTCTTGAGTGTTTTCCAAGTTGCTTTCCAGTAGTTTTGTGCCATCTCCTGCTGCCACAAACATAAAAATGCATCTCCCCAATTTCCTAAAACAAAAACAAAGCTTATACAACTAGATGTATTTATTTTGAACTGTTGATGATTGCTTTTTAGAATTTTAAAACTTGTAAACTTGCTGTCCTCTAAGTTGTGGTAAAGGGACGGGCCAGTATTTCATTGTGAGGAAAAACCCCTGTTCAGGACTCTGCTCCGGTTCTGCTGGGACACACATGTTCTGCAATAGGCAGGAGACATCTACAACTACGTGGGCCTTTCCAAAAGGAGCTTTTTGTCTCTAGGTTGGGTCCTCCCCTCCCTGCTTTTTCCTGTCAAAAAGCTGAAGTGGAAATTACCCTTAAAGTGTTCCACCACTTGGGTTGAGTCAGAATCACGTCTTTTTCTGCTGAAATCTATTCCTTATGTTGGAAGATCTAATTCTAAAATTAACACTAAGCTAACTTAAAGCAACAGGATAACTTGGAACAGATATGCCTGCCTTCTCATCATGTATCTTTCTGATTGTTCCCAGATGTGGTAAGGTTTATGGCTTTGGAGACAACCACAGCCCTCTTTTGTAACAGCCTTCAGTTTACTGGGCATGGTGACTTAGTTTAGCAGAATTTAAATGTGCATTCACATCCTCATGTGATTTGCATTATATAAGGTGGATGGAAAAATGCTTCTCAGGCTGGGCATGATGGTGCATGCCTGTAATCCCAGCATTTGGGAGGCTAAGGCAGGAGGATCATTGTGAGCTCAAAGCCAGCTCAACTGCATAGTGAGACCCTGTCTCAAACAAACAAGAAAAGGAAGAAGAAATGCTTCTCAAAACGTGAGGTTCTAGACAGATGTGGTATCATGCTCAGGAGGCTGAGGTAGGAATATTTGCTGTGAGTTCGAGGCCAACCTGGACTACATAATGAGTTCAAGGTGAGCCTGAACTACATAGTGAGATCCTGTCTCAAGAAAAAACAAAAAAGAAAAAGAAAAGTAAA